ATAAGACTTTTTAAAAAATCAGAATACATCTTATAGTGTAGAGTGTGAGGAACAAGAAGAAACGGTAAAATGAGGAAATGTACCATAAAAATAGGTTCACATCTGTTATTTTACACATTACAATGAAAAGTTCTCCAAACTAAGCACTTCACATGACACATGATACAAAAGTAACAAAAGTTCTTGAATAAATTATTATATTATGTTAGGTTAGTATTAGTTACCCCCATCCCCCAATAGTTACTGTATGGTCTATAATGTTTCAGGAAACAAAAAGATAACATGGCACAAGTATCTGTATCTTAAATATCTCCAATTTGTCTTCCAGTGCTAAAAATGCAATTTCCTCAAAAACAGGTCTGAGCCTTTCAAACTGACGTACGAGTACATCTAAATCCCAATGAAGTCATATAACATGTATACACAATATATATATATATATATATATATTTAAAAACCTACAATAAGTGGTCTCAAAAAGAGCCATTGTCATTGCTTTCTTTAACTGCCAATCTCAGTTTGGTCTGGTTATTCCATATTCCATTTTGAGGCCCAGGGTAAAAGGCACCTTATTTGACCAAAAACCTTTTTCTTAATATGCAAAATAGGAATTTCCTTGCGTGTGCACTGACACAGTTGCAACCTAGAAGAATTTCAAGCATTATGCTAAGCATATATGTGCTTGCTTTTGCTGAGAGTCTTCTTTTCTGTTGGGCAATCCCTAATTTAGAATGGTGACTTAAAACTACAAGCAAAAGAGGGGCAAGAGTGGGAAGAGATTTTCAAAGAGAGGCCAGTCTGAAACAATAGCCAATCAAAGATAAATCAGTCTACTGAAAGTGGATAAGGACCACCCTAGGACAAAAATGGTAGGGACCTAACAGAAGCAGATTAGGAAGAGATGGCAAGAATACACAGAAGAACAATACAAGAAGGACCTCAGTGTCCTTGACAACCATGACAGTGTGATCGGTCTGACCTCAAGCCAGACATCCTGGAGTGCGAAGTCAAATGGGCCACAGAAAGCATTACTAACAACAAAGCTAGTGGAGGTGATGGTATCCCAGCTGAGCTATTCAAAGTCTTAAAAGATGATGCTGTTAAAGTGCTGCACTCCATATGCGAGCAAATTTGGAAAACGCAACAGTGGCCACAGGATTGAAAAAGGTCAGTTTACATTCCAATCCCAAAGGGCAATGCCAAGGAATGTTCAAACTATCGCACAATTGCACTCATTTCACATGCTAGCAAAGTCATGCTCAAGATCCTACAAGCTAGGCTTCAGCAGTACGTGGACAGAGAACCGCCAGAAGTACAAGCTGGGTTTCAAAGCGGTAGAGGAACTAGAGATCAAATTGCCAACATCCGCTAGATTATGGAGAAAGCAAGGGAGTAACATAAAAATATCTACTTTTGCTTCACTGACTATGCTAAAGCCTTTGTGTGGATCACAACAAACTATGGCAGGTCCTTAAAGAGATGGGAGTACCAGACCACCTCACATGTCTCCTGAGAAACCTGTATAAGGGTCAGGAAGTGACAGTTAGTATATATTGGTAGTTATGTAAGATTGAATATACGTTTCAATTTTCCTCCTGTTTACCTGCAATGTTATGTAAAGTTTAGTATGTTTGTTATCCATTTAAAAAAAAATTTTTTTAAGAAGTGACAGTTAGAAGTGGATATGGAACAACTGATTGGTTGAGCATAGGAAAAGGAGTATGACAAGGATATATGTTGTCACCCTACTTGTTTAATTTATATGCAGAATACATTATGTAAAATGCCGGCCTGGATGAATTTATTTATTTATTTAATCAGGTTTCTACCCCGCCCTCCCAGCCGAGGCCAGAATCTCAAACCAGAATTAAGATTGCCAGGAAAAACATCAACAATAACACTCTAATGGCAGGAAATGAAAAGGACCTAAAGAGCCTCTTACTACACGTGAAAGAGGAGAGTGCAAAAGTTGGCTTGAAACCCAACATCATCAAAAAAACTAAGATCATGGCATCTGGACCCATCACTCCTTGTCAAACAGAAGGGGAAGTCATGGAAACAGTGACAGAATTCACATTCCTGGGATCCAAGATCACTGCAGACTGTGACTGCAGCCATGAAATTAAAAGATACCTGCTCCTTGGGAGGAAAGCGATGGCAAACCTAGACAGCATAATAAAAAGTAGAGACATCACCCTGTCAACAGAAGTCTGTATGGTCAAAGCAATGGTATTCCCAGTAGTAATGTATGGCTGCAAGAGTTGAACCATAAGGAAGCGCCGAAGAATAGATGCTTTCAAATTATGGTGCTGGAGAATACTCTTGAGAGTCCCTTGGACTGCAAGGAGATCGAATCAGTCATTCCTAAAAGAAATCAACCCTGACTGTTTCCTGGAGGGCCAGATCCTGAAGCTGAAGCTCAAATACTTTGGCCACCAAATGAGAAGGGAACATTCACTGGAGAAGACCCTGATGCTGGGAAAGATTGAAGGTAAAAGAAGGGGATGGCAAAGAATGAGATGGTAGTGTTATCGATGCAACAAACATGACATTACGCAAACTCCAGAGGATGACAGAAGACAGGAGAGCCTGGCGTGATGTGGTCCATAGGGTCACGAAAAGTCAGACACAACTGTGTGACTGACCAACAACAAGGACCACCCTGACCTGAGTAGCCCAGGCAAGCCCGATCTCATCAGATCTCAGAAGCTAAGCAGGGCGGACCCTGGCAAGTATTTATTTATTTAATTACATTTTTATCCCGCCCTCTCCACAAGCAGGCTCAGGGCGGCTCACATTTATCAGCAGCATGTGCCGAGTCAGCATAAAACATTTAAAAACAAATTAAAACAATCACACAATAAACAGATAATAAGTTAACAAGTTAGCGCTCGCTATGGTGGTCGTTCCTTCAGTAATTTAAAGATGTCATGTTATAAAATGTAGTTCTAAAATCCCGATTCAGTGGTATTCCGGCCTCCCACACACTGTGGCTCGATCTCCATGCAGGGCCAACCCTCCACCATAGATGTTACTAATGATAGTTGGTGGTGGTGGGCGGCTCCTAGTTGAAAGCCTGGTGGAAGAGCTCCATCTTGCAGGCCCTGTGGAACTGTACAAGGTCCCGCAGGGGCCTGATCTTCTCTGGGAGCTCATTCCACCAGGAACGAGCCGCCACTGAAAAGGCCCTGGCCCTAGTAGCAGCAAGCCTGGCCTCCTTAGGGCCTGGAATAATTAACCGATGTTGTGACCCCGACTATAGTGCTCTCTGGGGTATGTATGGGGAAAGGCGGTCCCTCAGGTATGTTGGATCCTGGTCATATAGGGCTTTAAAGGTAAGTACCAGCACCTTGAAGCGAATTCGGTATGCTATTTGCAGCCAGTGCAGCACCTTCAGCACCAGCCGGATGTGCTCCCATCTAGGGAGGCCCATCACAAGCCTGGCCACGGCATTCTGCACTAGCTGTAGCTTCCAGATTTGTGACAAGGGCAGCCCTATGTACAGAGCATTACAGTAGTCTAATCTCGAGGTGACCGTCGCATGTATCACTGTAGCCAGGTCGTCGTGGTCGAGGAAGGGAACCAACTGCTGAATCAGCTGAAGATGGTAAAAGGCTGACTTAGCAGTGGCTGCTACCTGGGCCTCCGTTGTTAAGGAGGAATCCAGGAGCACTCCCAAACTCCTAACCTCCGAGGCTAGCACCAATGGTGTCCCATCGAAGGTCAGGAGCGGGAGCCCCATCCCCACCCCACCCCAACTCAGGCACAGGACCTCTGTCTTCGCCAGATTTAGCTTCAGCCGGCTCAGTCTAAGCCAACCAGCCACAGCTTGCAACACCCAGTCCAGATCTTCTGGACTGGAGTCCAACTGGACACCCAACATCAGATAGAGATACCTCCGGGCAATCTGGGCAAGGGGGTGCATGTAGATGTTAAACAACATCGGGGAAAGCACCGCCCCCTGAGGCACACCACACTCAAGCAGGTGTCTCTTGGACTGCTGTTCCCCTAGCACCACCCTTTGTCCCCGACCCTGGAGAAAGTAAGCCATTGCAAGGCAAGCCCCTGTAGGGAGACCTCCAAGGAATACCAGGGCTTGGGATGCAGAGGCAGGCCATCAAGCCATCTCTGAAAAAGTCCAAGCCCTCAGTTAGGTGTCACCAGAAGTCACCATGGTTTCCAGGCATGCAAGCACATTAACACACATGTACACATACACACAAAAAGTGGATAAGGACCAATTCTAAATGCTGGAGGATGGGTGGGGTAGGATTAACATAGAGCTAATCAAGGAAGGTGCAGTGAAAAAAAAATAAGCAGAATTCACATCTGTAAAGGGTGAGTCATGCCAAGCTATTATTAGCTCCTGTAGTAAGTGAGGCTTATTCAAGCCTGGGGGATCTCTTGATGCCTTCCAATTCACCACTTTTGCACTGGATTCTCCCTTTGAATATCTTACATGGGGTGCACAATAATCTCTAGTACTAAGTGAATACATCTGTGGTTAACAGCAAGTAAACTAGTTAAGGGATTCTCCCCGCCCCCCTAACATTCTAAACTCTTGATTAGGTCATAGAAGAATCTGTTTAGCTAGAAGTGCCAAAATTTGAGCTAGAAAGTACTCTGCATGATCCCAGAGGCTGCGACCTCCATCACACTTTGCATTTTTACAATTAACGAAACAATGCAAATTCATTCTTAATTGGAGAACAAACTTGAATCTTCAGGAAGTATTTCTTCAACACACAGGCCATGAAACTAAAGCCAGTCACGCTTCCAATGAAATCAATTATGCTTCAGCTATGGCCAAGTATTACACACTGTACACACAATAAAAAGCTACAAAAATACATAAACGGTAATATTTTTTCATGACTGAACTTGACTTCAGCTCATGCAATGACATCGTTAAAAGTACTATCTAGAAATGGTTATGTTATTTGGGATGAAACATACTGAAATGAGTATGCCTAAATTTTGGCATTCTGAAACCCTGGATCTTAATTTCTTTGATAAAATATGGCATATTTAGAAGTCCGGAAGCCAAGCAGGTCTCTCATTTCATTTCGGAATTTTGATAAGTCTTGTCGTAGTTCATTGAGGTTTTCTACAGTTGCCTGATCTGTACTTTGCATTCTCTGTCTCATGGAAGTCAAGTAACGATGAACTAAGCAACACATCACTTTTTGGTAATTCTCATCTCTCTTTTGCTTCAGATTTTTCCACTCCTTTAAAGAAACAGTAAAAGGTTAAACATAATGATGTACAACAGGCAGCAGGATTTTCTGAGATTAAAAACTACTGAATATTGCATATGCTGTAAAATATGCTGTATGTGGATTCAGTTAAATACACACATGCTTAATTATCTTCATTACAATCAAAGGAACTTAAAGGTACTTAATTTTAGCTAGATTGTGTGCTCAGTTACATGTGCTCTCATCCCCCAAATATTAGTAACTAAAAAAGACCCACTCTTGCTAAATTTCTAAGTCTGCACCTCCACCACCATTCAGTTCAATCCTCTGGAGTTCCAAAATGCCTCAGAAGAAGATCTCTTTCCATCAACTTGGAAGGCTGACCACCTGAACAATCCTCCTAACATATTCCATGTACACAGAATAATCTGGTAAGCAAATGAAGGAACGTCTGTAAAGCCACTGCAATATCAAACCATGCAATAAAACACTGGCATATAATTGCCAATCTTGTTTTGTTGACTGGGGATTATTTTGGGATATCTGGGCTAGCTACTGAAAGAAAGCTGGCTGTCAAAGAGGAAATGTGTATATTTCCCTCCAATCCTCCCACTATCATGGTGTTTCACTGTGAAGTGCTGATCCCAATGCTGATACAGAAAACTGGGCAACAGGGCCAGCCACAACCAATACTGAGGTTTCAAAGTCGGGCATAAAAAACCCAAAAACACCAACTAGCGACATCATCCGTAGGCTTGGATGCTGGCAAAACCAGTTGGAGTTTGGCTGCCATTCGGTTGCTGCATCAACCGCAATGAATGCTGAGCCTCCTCCCTCAAGATTCAAGAGCAGGACCTCTGAAGCAGGGGCCAGCATGAGAAGGCAGTGATGATGGCGAGGGGAGACAGCAGTAACTCACAAGAGGGGGAGAAAGAAGGGGGATTTCCCCTACCCCTGATTCTTCATGGGTTGCTACTTTAAAAAAAAATATTTTATAGGACAGCAGAAAAGTCCTGGAAAATTTCTACACCCAGTCTTTGGATTTTGCTGCAAGGCTGTACAGGTCAAGCATACAGTTAGAGTACCGTGTTTCTCCTTATCTACAACAAAAAATGGCTAAAATTGTGGTCTTCAGTACCGCTGATGGCCTATGTGACTTGAAAATAAATGATCCTAATTTTGTAAAACATTTCTTTGTAAACAAAAACAAAAAGGAAGAAATAACATCCCTCTGTACCAAGTATGCTCCTTCAACTATTTTTACCTGCCAGAGGGAGCTCTAGTAATTATTGTACCTAATGACAGGGTACCGGTACCTTGAATATGTTTACTCAACAGAGCTTTAAAACTAAGCAGCTTCAGTGTTTCTTCCTTTGAGTATTTTATTTTGATGCAACATGGGACAAGTTTAAAATTAGCACACCATGTGGGAAAGCTAACAAATTTGCACTGTTTTTAGAATTGACATTACATTTTGCTGTAGGAAAAGATCATTTGCCTTGACTGTATTTGCATATCCAGCCTTGTAATACTTAAACAATGGAAAACAAAACTTAAAAAATGGAAAAGCAGAAAGAACTTCAGGTACTGCTCCCATAAGACTCCTGACTAACCTGTGCAGAAGTTACCGCCTCAGAGGCTTAATACTTGTCACATCCCACTGGAGAAGATACCGAGAACTGCACAACCTCAATATATAGTATGTTCATTTCCGTGATCCCAAAACCAGGAACAGACCTTTATTTGGCTATGAATTACAGACTAATTTTGATAATCAACGGTGTGACTGCAAATTTTCAGTAATGTGGGCTCCTGAGGCCTGGAATCCCAGTTTGCGGGGAGGAAACAAACTTCAGTTTGCCCAAGTGCCTGCATTCTGAGCTCACAGTGAACTACAGTTTGATTCAAGGCTTCCCAAACAAGCAAGCCTTCAATTGTGATGCTCACAAGAGAAGGAGGGAGTGGAGTTGATTATATTACTGCCTTTCTGCCCTGGTAAGGGCACTCAAGAATAAAAATCACATTATAAATAGTATCAGATACTTTATAGATTTAACACCCAACCCCTCCATCTAAAATGTCATCAGCACTGCACAGTCATGACCACTAACTACATTCATGATGATCAGGAACAAATGTTTGCCATAATATATGAATATGGCCTAAAACCTTTCAGTGACTGTGATGCAGTAGTGGAAAGTTATCATTGGCTGCGGTCACACGGAGCATTAGCCACGCTCGAGCGATGGAAGACAAGCGGAGTTTCCGGGCGCAATCTCACCAGCACATCTGGGAAGCGTAGCACTTCCGTGACGCAACCGAGGCTTCCCGCCAAAAACACGCAGCAAAAAACTAGTACCTCGGAGGTGCTAGTTTCCAGAAACTGCGGGGCAAGGGCAGGCGTCTGATCGCGTTTCCGGAGGCATCCGGCGCCCGCCCATGTCCCCTTGCAAAAAAGGTTTTTTTCCCCCCAAGTCTCCGTGGATGCGCACAAGCACCCAACAGAGCATGCGCAGTCGTGGTGTACACGAAAAAAACACCCATCCAGTTTGCCGCACCGCACGCTTCTTTTTTGCACGTGGGATTGTCATGCGATCGGCACCTCTCCCTTCCCATGGAACCTCCACGGTACCTCCACGGGAGGTCTGATCACTTTACCGCACAGTAGTTTGCCCCGGGGCAAACTGCCATGCTTCCCCCCCGCAGTTTCCTGCCCGTGTCTGCTTTTTCTATCCTACTGTGGTCTTTCAGAAACCTGCAGCATGTCAGGTGTAACTGGGAAAAAACAAAGCTAGCTCATCAGCATGGCTAGTTGTGCTGCAATAGATATAGGTATCATAAGCAACTACTAAATTAGAGCCCGTAACATCACATATGACATTAAAAACAATGGTGGTATTACAGATTTTGTAATGACTATACAATACTCAGATATTTCAACAGTAAAACCTTGTTTGTCGATATGTATTGTGGTTTTGGTTTGTTGAGGCTAATTACCGGTTCATTATTTGTAATGAAGGGCAATTTAAACTAACAGTTTAATTGGATGTCTTGTCTTGTAACTATGAAAACATTTCATTAAAACAAATTTATTACCTTTAAGCTATTCTGCCGCTTGACTTTGCCAGATGATGTATGAGAACAAATCCATTTACTGAGGCTGTTAAACAGATAGCAAATAGTCTTGGGAGAAGGAATGATATTGAAAGGTGGAGGCAATGTACATTTGTCATCAAAGTAGCTAAGCCAGAGCTTGGCACGAGCAAACTTCCATTCTTTGTCCTCGTGGTTCTAAATGATTAAAAATGACAGATTTCAGAGATTCTTCTAAACCAGGATTTAAAATTACACCACTGTGCATTTAAATGTTTACTAAGGACTAATTAGTAACCAATGAATGTGATTACAAATACATTTATTGAAAAGGATAGTTTCAATCCAGAGATATTTTGTGCATGGGGATCTTAGATGATCATATACAGAGCCTCACATTTCAGGGCTTGACATTCACCATAAACCTGGAGACCAGATCCACATGTTTCTCACACTGCAGGAAAGTCTATGAAAGCTGCTATTCATACCACGGCCCTCATGTTTCAGACTATATTCCTCAGGAGTCCATATCCTCCTATGACATGAGGTATAAATAATTACATGAGATTATGTGTGCTATGTGCTTCAGACACAGTTTGTACTGTGTAGGTATACTTATGATGAAATATAAAAAAGGAAATAATCATAACACATTTATTTGGTGTTTTTTTTTTATAATTGAACTTCTGAACCATGCAGAACTTGGCCTCCTCATCATTACAGATCCGTTTCTCTGCTATGCATGCTCTTCGGAGTGCATAAAGAATTTTACACTGGCCCAATAGGTATGAGGTATTAGCTGTACATGAAAAAGAGAACTGCTACAATGCAATGGTAGCAATTTATTACTTCGCAGGTTTCCAGTACTGCTAAAGCATGTGTATATTCCAACATGAAAAGGATTTTTTTTAACTTTGTTGTGGCTAAAATACAAAGAATACCCTCCAATCATCCTGGTGCTATCTAGTTGTGTTAAGGTTTTCCACTAAATCTCCCAAGTGCCCTCGCAACTGGTAATCGGTGTCCTTTGAGTAGTCATCTGCATACTCATATTGAAAGGCTTTGTGCCTCAGCAGAGCTTCTGTTTGGACATGACTAACTTTTACACATGATTTTTTTTTCCCTCTAGAGGCAGAGCGCCAAGTGTGCATGCCTAAGAGAGAGAAGTTGCTGCTTCCTGCTAAGTTCTTCCCAAAAAGAAATACCACAGCAAGTTTAAAAACACCTGTTACCAGAAAGGAGGGCAAGTTGTGTGAATTAAGGGAAGACCACTTGAGGAACATCAGCTACAAACAACTTGTTTTTCTTCTTCAAGGTCTCTCTATATCATACTAAGGGCAAAAACAAGCTGTCTTATCTAGAATCAGGTATAGGTATAGTTAATATCCCATTAAGCCTGCTCTGCCAAAATACACATTTGCTCTGGTTACAAAATGTATGGCATTGTGCCTCAGTATAAGGTGAAAGGCTGGGCTCAGATGGCTTGCAGTGTTCTCGGAGAGGAATTCCTCTACTGAACGCAGAAGATATGGTAGTAACTCCTCTGGAATGAGTTCTGACAGTACCATGCATTGTCTCTATGGCAGTGGTATTCAAACGCAAGGGTCAAGATCTTGAGCTGGGTCAAGATACTGAGTTTCTTTAAAGCAAGAGTGCAGAGTCCACAGTACCTTCTGAGTTTCAGGTAAAAGGGTTTCTCCATTAGCTGTATGAGGACCAGCTGTAAGTCCTATGATGGTTTAGGTGGTGGAACTGGGGGTGGTTTAAAACTAGTAAGGCCCTTGAAGAATTGCTTCAGCTGGGAGGGAGGGTATGAAGGAGGAGGAAGAGAAAACGAAGAAGAGCTGGATTTATACCCCACCCTTCACTCTGAGTCTCAGAGCAGCTTCCCTTCCTCTCCCCACAACAGACACCCTGTGAGGTAGGTGGGACTGAGAGAGCTCTGAGAGAACTGCTCTTGAGAGAACAGCTCTGAGAGAACTATGACTCACCCAAGATTACCCAGCTGGCTGCATGAGGAGTGGGGAATCAAACCTGGTGCTCCAAATTAGAATCCGCTGCTCTTAACCACTACACCGAACTGGTGAATAAATAGGAAGTGGCCCTGGCATGCATGATGCATGAACAAACTACTTCATATTAATATTTGTAACACACTTAAACCAGTCAGAACCAAGTTATTCAAACCTAGTTAAGAATGTAACAGTCCAGTTGGATCAGACCAGTGGTTAATCTAGTTCAGCATCCTATCTCATACAGTGGCCAACCAGTCACTCTGGACGGCCGGCAACAGAGGCTGAGGCCTTTCCCTGATGTTGCCTCCTGGCACTGGCATTCAGAGGTTTACTACTTCTGAATATGGAGGTTCCCGCCAATCATCATGGATAGTAGCCACTGATAGTCCTGCCCTCCATGAATCTGTCTAATACCTTTAAAACCCTCCATGTCCGTGACCATTACTGCATCCTCTGACAGGGAATTCCACATTTTAATCAATCACTGAGCAAAGTAGTATTTCCTCTTGTCCACCCCGACTCTACTGCTTATAAACTTCACTGCGTGCCCCCACGTTCTAATATTTTGGGAGAGGGAGAAAAAAAAATCATCTCTGTCCATTCACTGCTGTGGGACACTGGATCAACATTTTCACTGAGCTATCCGCTATGACCTCAAGGTCCCTTTCCCTCTCAGTCTCAGCTATTTCAAAACACATTAACATATACTTCAATTTGGGTTTTCATCTTCCAGTATGGATCATCTTATACTTACCTTTACTGAGCTTCATTTGCCACGCTGCTGCCCAATCACCCAATTTGTGGAGATCCTCCTGGATCTCTTCAGCTTTGGTTTTCACCATAATGAATAATTTTGTGTTACCTGCAGACTTGGCTACTACAATGCTCACCTCGTTCCAGATCATTTATGAACAAATTAAATAGCACGGGCTCCAATACAGATCCTTGTGGGGCCCCACTGCTTACTAGTTAATCAAAGTAATGATCGTGCTATGCACAACCAACAGCAAAGACTGTACTTCAGTATAATGTAATAAAATGTGTTTTAAAATACTTACTGCTATCAGCTGAAAGCTTTTATGAAGCATCGCCACTAAGAGCTTGGTGAGGACAATCACCACTACTACATTATATGTGCCAACAATAACAGCACCCACAAAAGACTGCAGTTCTTCACCATAACTAAATCTGGTAACAAATACTGCTACATGTGCAAGGGAGAATATATACCAGAACAGGGCAAAACAGGTGCCAATAAACCTGAAAAAAGGGGGAAATGTGTGATTAGATGACCCACAAAGACACAAGAGGGAAAAAACCCAGCTAGCATGCATTCAAAGTTAGAACATTTTCTTCTAGAAAAGCAAAATTATTCTGAGGTGCTACAAGGTCAGTTATTCAAAAATATTTAACAAACATTATGTCTGGGGAGGGGGTCAATAGTTGACTACCCTGTATTAAACTGATGGCTTGCTAATTAGATAATGGATCTGTGGCCAAAAGCAGGGAAACTGCTCTCTGAATTTGGACAAAGTTGGTCTAAAACTGGAGTTTAACAGCTGATCTTTGAACATGCTTATGCAGGACTAGTAGTTGAGCTGCCTGTGTTAGGAATTTGTTTGCTGCCAATATGCTCCGCTCATATATTTGTCACAAAAACACAGTTATTACAAAGACTTCACAAGTTTCTAGTACACTCTGCAAAGAAAACTAAGCCATGTAATCTTGTCTCAGATTTCTCACCATTTTGGAAAGTGAGAAGAAATGAAATCAGCACTTTAATTTTTTTAGTGAGTTGAGTTGTAGACCACACAAACAAAATGCATGCCAATAAGACTTATTACAGGAACCTGCAGCTTTGCCAAGCACTTTGTGGGTGAAGCCTGCACCTTACAAGCATTATACAAGGAAAGTACACTTAAAACCACAGCATTAGATACAGGGGTTGCCTAAGCAAAAGGAGTTAATCGTTCCCACCTTCCCTTTCCGAAACAACCTTCTGCAATGCCCAAAAGGCCTCACTAGAGGTCATGCAACCCCATGGACAAACAGCCATTAGGCACAGGGGATGGCAGTGAAAAAGGGGAATACGGCAAAGGGGTCCCCAACCTCATTCTTGTGCCAACAGAGCTCTTATTCCATCACTCTTTTCCTGTCCAGCTTTCTGCTAGCTCAAGAGTAAGGTAGGGGAAATTTCACTCAATTCCTCCACTGCAGACCCATATGTAAGGTGGGGTTTTGTCCATGGAGGACCCCCAGCATTGCCTTGGGGAAAGGGCTTCAGAGGACTCCTCTGAAAAGAGAAAGTTGGAAAGATTTGTCAACATTAGTGTCTTCTATTTGTGCAGCAAGAGAATCCAAGCCAATGGGACTTAAAATGTGTGCTCTTATTTTAACAGGACTCTGCTTTCACAAGATTGTATTCCACAACAACAGCCTTGAAAATATCAACACAGCAAAGAAATTGGTGATATGGTGCCCTAAGCTTAAATTGGTGTAGTGTAGTATATAGAAGAGTGAGCAGATTCATCCCAGTTTAAATTTTGCCCCTGCTGAAAATTCACTTGGTAGGCAAACCCGTATTTGTCAGCTTCAGTCCCAATCTAAAGAAAACACTATGGACCCCACTTTATAGGATAGCAAATCTGCTTTACAACATAAATTGTAATGTATGTGAAGCATTCAGCATATTCTAAACCACTACATAAATGCTAAGTATGAATGCTATGTCACCAGCTTAGTGACACAAAGTCCTACCTTCAGAAATGTTCTAGTGTTGAAAGCTACATTAAAGAACATAATAGCTAATTTTTACCACTGCCTTATCAATGAATTCTCTGCGACTCACGAGTGGAATGTGTCATTGCTTTGCTGTTCACAAAAGATCCCAGCACAGTCCTTCTCTTCATCCACAGTGAATCCTTTGTCATAGAGTTGGGTCAATCCAATAGTGAATGAGAACAATACAAGAAGAAACATTCCAAGAAATTTTCCAAAGTCTTGCAACATCTGCCCCATTGAAATCTGTAGAACATATTATTATCAAATTCAGTTTTCAAACATTAATTACTACACACCAAACTTGCATGTCAAAACCTATTATGAAAGCAGGATATAATTCCAAATGAACTTTACACTGCAAAATAATTAAATAGTTAAGCAGCTGTATTAAATACTATTAAACTACTAGAAACCCCTGAATTAAAATGGTTCAATTTTTCGTCTTGCTTTGTGTAATCTGTCATCAGGGGTCAAGTACAGACTATATTTTGAATCACAATGGTACAATTTAAGTGTAACAAATAATGGATTGAATCCAAAGGTTGTTTTCTGCCAGTGGAAAGGGGGAGCTATTTTGGCAACTCTACCCTTTTACTACAGCCCACTGAGTTCCTTGAAATGCTGCTGCTGTGGGGAGGGAGCCTCAGGAATAGTTTTAGGGACAAATGACTTGTGGATTTCTGCCATTATTTCAGTCATGAAATATCTTGGACCATAACACATATAGACTTCCACATGGGTTATCTGCCCTGAGAACAAAGGGAGGGGGTCTCCTTCCCCACAGTAGCATGGTATATTTGCATATCTCCTGGGTTCTCCCTGGCTTTACTCCAATTCTTCTCAAAACTGCTTTGTTCCAATGTTTTGGGAAAGACTGCTGTAAAGCTTAAACAGCTGCTGTGTGGGTAGGAAAGTTTGGATTTTGCCACCCATCTGGTGGCCATTTTTTCCTGATGCTGTTCCTGCAGGGGCCATTTCTTCCCTTAAAAAATAATCAGTTCCATATTGTTATATCAATATACCATTGTAACAATAAGTGAAACACACTCCATGAATTCCCCATTCTCATTATTTTTAAATGTACGTATCTAGCCCCTTCAGTTGCAGAGGTATATGGGGAAAGGCATAATGCCATAGCAGAAGGTGCTAGAGGCTTGTTTCAAATAAATTAAAATTGAGCTTTCTCAGAACCTGTTTTACTTATTGTTGTAACAGTATATCAACATAACAACATGAAATTGATTATTTTTAAATTTAAGAATCCCAAGAGGATGGGGGATGGTTGCTGCTGGGGGACTTGGACAAGAAAATCTACCATGTAGAAGCCCCCATTGCTATTTAGCTGTACTGGCAGCCATACCAGTAAATGGAGAAATCATAGCCTTTTCCCATATAAATAAATAAATAAATATGGGAAACCGATGAAGAAGAAAGGGGACTGCACCAAGGCAAAACAAAGAAAAACTAAACAAAATGGTGCAGAGGGAATGGAATATTTAATAGTTATACTATGTGTTTCACATACATACGGGAACCGAATGAAAAAGAATCTGAAAGATTCCCCCTGACGAAGCTGTATGCAAAACACGTAGGGGTTGCATAACTATTAAATATTCCACTCCCTCGCCACCATTTTGTTTCTCTTTCTTCCAAATGAGAAACCACCATACATATGAAACAAAATTTCTGTCCTTGTAATTTTACGCATGTTCACTTCAAAGTAAATCTCATTGTGTTTAGTGGGTCTTCCCATGCAAGTGTGCACAGGATTGCAGTTTATGATCAAAATGTTTTAAAGTTTGGGATCTAAAGCCTCTATAGCAACCCTAAAATGAAAATAAATGAGAAAGAATATGGCACTATGTTTGGAGCACTGCAGAAATAATTGAGGGCCCAGGAATTTGTCACTGTTCTTAAAAGTTAATACAATTACAGGCCTTACCCTGCTTACTTAACTACAATGTAGCCATTGATTCCAACAATCAAAATAACAGATATAACTTACTAATAGTTTGTACATATTTTAAATTAAAGACTGAAATAGTACTTTCAAAACCAACCTTCTAGCAAAGATTGTTAACTATATATCATAACATCAGTTACTAATGAATAGCTAATTAAAATAATGATTAAAGATTAAAGATTCTAATAAAGCACATTTCCCTGCTATGAAAGTATCCATGAAAAAATGTTGAAGGAATACGCTTTTGATTTCACTGAAGGGATATAGTGCTATATTTTATTGGCATTTGAAGGTAATGACCTACTTTTGGAAAACAGTATGGAAATTATTGCATCTATGGTTGTCAACAACAGCAACTAAAGCTTCAGTGTGACACTGAATAGGGTAAGTGTTAGCTGTTTATATATACCTGGAATTCTGATTTCATTACATAGAAGACTAATAAAAATGTGTTAAAGATGCAACACATAAATAAATATGTACGTTACATAGTGAACTTCAGAATGAATGGGAACTTGTTATGGCAATGTGGTCTGCATCCTTAATATACTGTTAAGTCCACTGAGTCTTATCAATAAGGAGTTTGCTATAGAAAAATGTGATTAAAAACTTAAAATAGGGAAACTAAACAATAATTAGAAAGTATTGCTAAATAAAAAGAATCCTTTTGTAAATAACATTTTTTTTTTTTTTGCTTGTAGGAGTAATTATTTAGCTGTAATAAGGGAAGGGGGAAGGCCCCAACTTCACTCACAGCAAGATGACAACATGGATCTTTTGGACACATCTAACAAGTGTAATTATACAACCTGTGTAACCTTCCTTCTTTGTTGTGGTCAAAAAGTTACCTACAGTTATTAGGCAGCAGAATGTTCAAGAATTTTGTTTAAGGTAGCTTGTTTAAGCATGCCTTGTTTGCCCTGTGTAATTACATTTTTGCTTTGCTTCTACAGTTCTAATACAGTTCTATTCAATCAACATTTTAATTAGATAGCCACAGGAAGCTCAACATAGCAAGGTCAAAATCTAGCCATATAGAGCAGCTTGACTGATAAAGCCAACAATTTAGATGAGTGTTATTACAAGTATAAACCCTGTATCTGAACTTAAATCAAAGAGCAAATCTAGACATTTTGCCTGTATAATAACTTACCTGAAGTGGCCCTAGGACAGAGCTCGTGGTATACATGAAGAAAAGTCGAAGATAACTGAGAACATTAGCAAAAGCAAACAGACCTTCTGCTACCAGTGTGGGATGGAAGGCATCCCAATCCTTCCTCTCAGCAAAATCATGGAACTAGAATTATTAAAAGAAATTGACATTTAATTATAATATAGTAGACAATCTAGTGACAACTATTAACTGCCAGTGGCACACACTGGAAAGCTACAAAAATCCAGGAATATTTATTTATTTATCTTGTAAACCACCCCTCTTGCATAGGGCTCAGAGTGATGGACGATATTTCTAACAACAAAATTCACAATCCAGATAAAACAATTAAAAACACAGTAAACATTACAGCAACAATTTGCAGATAACACTTGAAGGGGGGAGAGGGAAGGAAGGAGCCAGGCTAGATGGAGACTGTTGTTGTTCTCAACCATACGCCTGGTGGAACATCTCTATCTAACAGGCCCTGCAGAACTGCACTAAGTCCCACAGGGCATGAATGTCATTCAGCAGAGTTCCGCCAGGTCAGCACCACGGCCAAAAAAGCCCTGGCTCTGGTTGAGGATAGCCAGATATTTTTCAGACCAGGGATCACCAGTAAGTTCTTCTCCACTGAGTGTAATGCTCTTTGGGGGGGGGGAGATACCAGGAGAGGAGGTCCTGTAGATACGTTCATCCCAGACCATTTATTCCCCAATGTTTAACAATCCACAATAAGATGCAAGACTACCTGAGATAAAATAAAGTATTGATGATCAAACTGCTGTCTTGCTGCTTTCTTATGTTCCTTTCTGTCCATAATATAAGCTAGTTTTATTTGAATGAGATTTTATATCTTAAGGAAGTATTTTACCAGGACAGATGTAAGCTTATTTAATTATATTAATCTGAAAGGTTCTTACATGACTATCAAGCAAAGCTAACAAGATACAGGTTTACCTTCCACTCCAAATAAACACCAGCTTTGAAGATAGACAATGCAGAAAAAAAGTCTAGAAAAAGGTCTACAAGTTCAGGTAATCCTGTCTACCTAAGACTGTCCCTTTCATCCACTATGGGCAGGTAGAGATACAACATTTCCTGTCAGAAGCTGGCCACAGGTTCTCATCTCCAGATTCTTCTTTCAGTCTCAAAAGTCTTCACTGCACTTAAACATCTGTCAGTGTCATACTTGAATGCCATTTCAGCACATCAATTAATGCTAACCAGGGTTCTACTCAACTGAGTATTTATTCATATGACATCATCAGAGTATACAACAGTTCAGACTTGGATAATATATACATTCTTCTGTTTACTACAAAATACATTTTCTGTCTTCAACTTCTATTTATTTTATTTCTTCTTACCTCTCAGATGGTAAAAATACGTGACATGGTAATTCAGGGTGGGGCAGTTTGCAACCTTTTTTCAAATAATGGATATACTTGTATTTTTTCTTATAGAAAATGAAGATATTCATACTTTTAATTCCATAAATATGCCAAATAGTACAATTTTATATGCTAAGTAAATTACAGATGATGCATTTGTGGTCCAATCAGTAGCAGAAGTTTAGGTTTGATAGGAAAGTAAATACTGCACAAATTTCAGTTACCCTCAAATTTTCTTCTTTTTTCAAGAGTGGCTGGAGGAAAAAATATTTTTTTCTGTGGCTTCAACACTTGCAGAAATTTTATGTCTTTAATGGAGACTGGGAGTCAAGCAAGCCTTTGCAAAAAGGTGAGAAAGGTAGCATTGTGCAGATGCTCTGGCTGAAAATATGAATGGCGGCAGCAAAGGAAAACATGGACAGTCATTTGAAAAAAACATGAGACCTTGGATGGCTGAGGAGGACAGAGTTGGAGAAGCAATAGCTGGAGAAAGATCAAGAAGGGCCAAGGCTGCTGAAACTGAGACTGAGTTTACCTTGAGTCTCAGTAAGTAGCTTTGGATAAGCTACAATTGCCTATAAAATGGGAATAAAAAAGGTATACCAGTTTCATCCTACATGGGAGAAATTTAACCTGGCCACAGACAGATTTGCTCTGGTAACATCTACTGAAGTGTACTCTATGTGGGGCTCCCTTTAAAAATGCTTGAAAGCTTCAATTATTCCAAATCATAGCTGCCCAGTTGTTATTTGGGACCTGCTGTATTATGCCAGTCCTCATCTATTCCACTTTGGCTGCTTGTTTGTTTGCAGACAAAACTCAAGGTACTGGCTTCGACCAGTAAAACCTATTAAATGGGGGACAAAATACCTGAAAGACTACTTTGTGCAATAAAAACTTTGTATGCCACCCATTCATTCGATAGCAATGTGTGATGGGGACTTTCAGTGGTGACACTTAAGATTGTGGAACACACTCCCCCAGGAAGCTCATTTCGTCCCCTCTTTGGCAACCTCAGGAAAGAGATCAAGACTCAGTTGTTTCACCTAACCTTTTACCAGACTTACAATGCCATCCTAAGTAGAAATACATCCTTCTGAATCCATTGACTTAATACACCATTGTTAGATTGCTCCATGGCTTCTTATATATTTTCTATTTAGAAGTAATTCAGTGCTGTTTCTTTTTGTCAGTTCCACTATAATCATTTTGACACTGTGCAAATAACCTTGAGAATATTGAAATGTGGGATATAAGCATTTTAAAGTAAAAATATAACATTAATTAGTGGTTGTCTGATGAGCTGAATATCAGATAAGAATACAAATCCAGCTCAAAAACATTAGAGTTGCTAGTTGTCATTTCTCTTCCATTTTTCAATGAAAGCAGGTATACTCTACACGTGTATTTACACTAGGAATTGTTTCAACCAACACAGCAAAGCCTAAGAAAATATAAAAACTAGAAGTGATATTTGCCTTAAATTCCCTATATTTTAGCACTAAATATATAGACTGAAACCAGAGTTGTGCTTTAAGGCTTTCCAAATTGGGAAGACGACTTTAGCAACCATTAGCTGAACTGTATATTATTGTACATTTTAATTTTAAGACATTTGGAAACCAATCAGGGAGAAAAGCAAGAAATAAACATTATTCAATAGATGATTCAAAGAAGTTTCTGGAAAGTGAATTAAACTGTATACATATGACAATATACAGTAATATTTACCTTGTTATGGGCAACTATTTTGAGAGCAAAAGTTGCTAAATAGAGAGAATTCATGACAAAACTAAGTTGATTTCGTGATTCGTCTAGGAAGTCTTCTAAGCCTTCATACCAAAGTCTTTTAACATCTGACCACACCATTCCTAATAGAGAAGAGAGAGAAAGTAGTTGGTAGGGTACTGTGGACATCTCACAATGATTTCAGCGCTGTCTATAATTCTTTTTATTTATGAAACATGACAATACCTCTTATTTCAAAAGTATTTTGGGGTCAGAAATATAAGAGTTGTGTACACTTAACAACACTGGGTTTGAATGCTTAGCACATACATGCATAATATGTACATATTTCCATATCTGGCCTTATTTTAATATCTGCCATCTACAGAAGTTTTTATTCAGAAGCACTGTAAAGTCACTTTAACATCTAAGTAAGTTTATATATTGCAATGTAAGAAACATTAAAACAAAACACAATGCCAAGAAAAGCTGTGGCTAAACCTAAATAGGTGGGGCAGGTCGGTCACTAAGGCCACCAGGAAAAGTCCTAGTGAGCCAATAGTCTGGGAGGCCACCCCCTTGCCAGGGCCAACCTGGCCCCAAACAAGAGGCAACCATCACCCCATGCAAGGCAGATAAGGGTTACTGCCACTGTGATTCCCATACCTGCACAAGGTGGGTGGGTGCGAGCCACCGTGAGCCAGCATCCCCAGCCCTGTGCAAGGCGAGTGGGAGTCTCCTCTTTCTCCGTTCCCCCTCTGGCAGGGGTGGGGTAGGGCCCTTATCCAAGGCTGTTTTTGCCTCCCAGTCCACCCCTACAAATAGGCTGTGATTACTGGAAACAAACTAAAAAAAGAATTTCAGAATAACAAAGATCATTATATTATACAAGTTTTCACAGAACGATACCCCAAAAAGGTTTTAGGTTTAGATTTGACTGTGCTCCAGTGAACTGCTATTGGTAGGCCATGAAGATCAACAGTGATCTAAAACATTTCCTGATAATGCAGGTTACGTCACAACTGTCATTTCAAGAATGTAACAGAGTTTCCCCCATTTTGGCACAGAAAACAAAACAGACTTTTTAAGAAGACTACTGGATTAGCCACAGTTTTAAAAATAGGATAAAAGTAGTGTTCTGCCTACTTGTCTTTCTCCACTGAGAAAGATGCAGGTCACAAAGCTGAGTCAAAAGGCAAATATGAAAACTCACCAGAGTACACCTTTCCCCAACAGAAGGGATGGGGAGGGGGTGAGACATAGTCACAAGACTGACTCAGCATCCCTGCTCTCTGGCCCCTGGAGCAGCAGATCTGCTCAGGTGCCATTTTTCTTCTTTTTTTAAATAGGGCCTGCCCTACAGGTAGAAAAAAGCCCTAGGGTATGGACCACTGTTAGGTAAAAATTCACCAGGTAAGAAACATTTTTGTTCATACTTTATGCCACACTGGACTGAGTATAATAGCCAAGATTTTTTTTAAAAACCTGGTCCAACAATACACATAACAATCCAAAATCAAACTGCATAATCATCCCTGTTGTTCAATATCCAAGTAGAAGCACAATATGAGAATCAAGTGAAGAAAATAGCTATGTCAAGATTGTGAAGAAGTCTGATCTTTCTAGTTAAACATCTATAGCATTTTGGTCGGAACCTGAGCAACCCCCCAGGCCCCCCAACTATGAGCATTCATAATATACAGCATAGTTTATTATTTTAGAAATGTATCTCCCATCAAAATTGTTAAAATATAGTAATCAAAAACATATGACTGTAGGTTATTTATATCCAGAAAATTATAAATTGAAGAATTCCTTTTTAAAAGCAACAGAGAGTGCTCCCTCTGCTGGTTCTATAGTTTTTTCAGATAACCTGCAAATGTTATTTTCTCTGGGATAGCTGATGTACTTACAGGAACACACCCTCAGTACAGATGGTACAGAAATGTGAATACTTAAAGAGTGCATATCTTCCTTTCCATAGCTCAAGGTGGCATACAGAGAATTAAAACAGAGCAACTCAGAAAACATAAAACCAATACAGTAACAAAAAAGCCAAACTACAGGAAACAACACACAGATCACAACCAGTTAACTAAAGGCATTACTGAGCAGGTCTACTATGCATGCCCTACAAAAGGAGACTTTAGCACATGGACAAGACAGTACAAAAAAGAATTGTGTCTTTGGAGTGCCTGAGCAAAGCTGGTGAATACTCATGAGAAGATGCTGTTAATCATATTTGCATGCTATTCTCCAATCCCCACACACAGGCAATGGCTCTAATTTTTTACAACTAAAGATGCATATAGGTCAGGAGAACATCAGACACACCCAGTTCTAGTTCAGTTCTGGTATTTCATAAACACAGGCATTACTTATCTTCTGAAATACCTTCATTTGTAGAACCCATAGCATTACAGAGTCCTACCCTCTCACTGCCTCCCCGATGCTCATTCAGGTACACACACACAGAGAGAGAGAGAGAGAGAGAGAGAGAGAGAGAGAGAGAGAGAGAGAGAGTGTGTGTGTCAGTGCACCACAGCACTACTCCCATATTCTTCTTCAGTTCTCCTGTCTCTGCTCAGTCAAGGAACACAAGCTTTGCTACAGTGGAGCAACAGTGTTAGAAACCTCACCTGGCCCAAACATGGAAAGGACTGACAGATTGATAGCTTTTTTTCTATTCTGTGGGTAGAGGTGCATGGCCATTCTTAGATCGTGGAACAATTTGTCTGTTAATTCTAATAATTAATGAGATTCTAGTGTGAGAACTAGTTACAAGAGCCCCAAGCACCTGTTTGAATACAGCTATATATCTTGATCTCATGTATTTGTTGTTGTTGTTCAGTCGCACAGTCGAGTCCGACTCGTCACGACCCCATGGACTAGATCCCGCCAGGCCCTCCTATCTTCCGCTGTCCTCTGAGGTTTGCTCAGTTTCATGTTTGTTGCATCGATGACACTGTCCAACCATCTCATCCTTTGCCGTCCCCGTCTTCTTTGACCTTCAATCTTTCCCAGCATCAGGGTCTTCTCTAGTGAGTGCTCCCTTCTCATTTGGTGGCCAAAGTATTTGAGCTTCATTTTCATTATCTGGCCTTCCAGGGAACAGTCAGGGTTGATTTCTTTTAGGATTGACTGATTTGATCTTTTTGCAGTCCAAGGGACTCTCAAGAGTCTTCTCCAGCACCATAGTTCAAAAGAATCCATTCTTCGGCGCTCGGCCTTCCTTATAGTCCAACTCTCACAGCCATACATGACTACTGGGAATACCATTGCTTGGACCATGCGTATTTTTGTTGGCAGGGTGATGTCTCTACTTTTTATCATGCTGTTTAGATTCACCATCGCTTTCCTCCCAAGTAGCAGGCGTCTTTTAATTTCATGGCTGCAGTCACAGTCTGCGGTGATTTGGGATCCTAGGAACGTGAAGTCTGTCACTACTTCCACGACTTCCCCTTCTATTTGCCAAGGAGTGATGGGACCAGATGCCATGATCTTAGTTTTTTTGATGTTGAGCTTCAAGCCCACTTTTGCGCTCTCCTCTTTTACCCTGAGCAAGAGGCTCTTTAGGTCCTCTTCACTTTCTGCCATTAGAGTGGTATCGTCTGCATATCTGAGGTTGTTGATCTTTTCTCATGTATACAAGTTTAATATTTCATGTAAAATACAGCTTTTATATCCATCTATCCAGGTATCACTGCTAATTGATATCAAAGTATTATTGCATTCTAGCATTCATGCCAAGAGGATGTTATGTACT